CATCTACTGATGATCTGTCAATGCAGAGGGCTGTATGAGCCAACCCCCCTAAGCCCCCTCTTGCAACTCAACACCCAGGGTGGAAGACGGGGCAGGAGACACCTTTCAGGAAGGTAATCACTCTACTTATGAAAGAAGAGGTGCTGTGCTAGAAAGCAGCAAAAAATAACCCAGGGAGGCAGAGTTTTGTATTATTGAATTGTGATAGATTTTTCTAAATATCATAGAACAGGAGGATAGTTTTGTAGTGGATTTATTTATTTGCTTCCTTATTTAGTGGTGATTATAGTGAATATTTTCACTGAATCAAGGTCATTTCAAAAGACTTGGATGCAGAGTGATGAACAAAATTTCATGGTAAGAAGCCTCCTTCATCTTACATAGTTTATAAACCCTAGAAGGATGAAATATAAAGAGAGGGGCTTGATGTTCCAGTGAAAAGACACAAAAAGGAAACGTGTTCCTCAAAGTTAGCACAAAGCATTAATGCTCAAGTAATTCTTCTTTGCAGTCATATGAGACAGGTCTTTGTCTCACACCAAAGGTTGGTTTAATCTTAAAATCATTGTGAACAGAGAAAACAGCAGTGGACAAAAATAAGGGGCCCAGTTTCAAGAATCTCCTTAGAAATCTGGGAGAAAGGGAAGCCTGTAATTAGGGCCTGCTGCACTCCTGCTCTGGGGGTGATGTCATCGCCCGGAGAAAGGCAGTGCTCGGTGCCAGGAATCTGAGCTCACAGCGCTTCAATAACTCAATAGGGTCTCGCATGGGAACTCCTCGTCGTGGTGGTTAGTGACCAACATATCTACTTTTTAGGTACCAGTGTTTGGCTAAGGAGAGACAGAAAATTAAAACATCCTTGTAAATGGGAGCCATGTGAGAGAATGTGGCACAGAAGTCCTCCCATTAGAATCATAGGGATGGGGCCTTAATCACCCGTCAACAACCCTACACCCTGCCAGACACATACCCACACTTCCCACCGTTTGACAGCGAGGAAACTGAAGCTCAACAGGCGAAGTCAAAAGCCAGGACTACAATCTGGTTGTCTGAACCCCGTTTTGGTGCTTTCTGCTACATCACCCTGGCTCTGTCCACCATCAATTCCCAAACTGTGGCCGTGTGGACGCTCAGAACCTCACCCACCTAGACATCAGAAACTCAGGGACACCTGTTCACATTGCATGGGCTTCCAGACTGCACAGAACCCGGGGGCAAAAGCAGGTCCTGTTGGAGATGATTTCTGCTGCTTGTGCCTTTGTGCAGAAAGACACTGTGGCACAACCAGCAAAACCGGTTCTAGCTGGAAGAACTGAGCAAGAGTTCTGCCAGAATCAGGCTGCAATTGACACCCTGCAAATCTGGAATTAATCCCCAAACCTCATTCTAACTAATAGTTTTAACACCTTCCCTGGCCAAACGTTTTCCTATAATTAAATTAAATTAAATGATTAGAGTTTCATGTCCTTTCCTTTTTTTCTGGTCACGCTACATGAGAGAGAGAGAGAGAGAGATAATGTAAGTCAGCAACAAAAGAAAGAAGTAGGAGCATGCTCTGGAAAAATCTATAAACCTTATCATCAGGACTTGATTATACATCTGTGGCAAGACTACCAAATACTGAACTGGTTCTTTGTTTATTTTTAAATAAATGCATCAAAACTTAAGTATTCAAATAAAGCTGTCCTTTAACATAATCATCTTGGGAAGACAGTTTTCTCAAATGATGCTGCTGAGGCTTAAAGCATATTTGCATAGGGTCTCTTCTGATATTGCCTGCTTCAAAGACAATTTATAAAGCCTTAGGCAAAAAAAAAATCTCATTTTTAACCATCAAGTGAAATGATCCAACTTGTTGATATCTATTCACATTTAGATCCAAGTGGTTTCCAGTGTTTTTTCAAACACTCTCAAAGATCAAGATTTACCACTTACTGTGGGCATGCAAAAGGATGTCACAGCATCTCCCTCCAAAGGTGGTGACAGGAGTCACCCTCTGGCCTGCCACCGTTGCTGCACTCTGAGAACTGACTGAAGGAACCAAGGGGCCAGGGAATGCTGCCGCCCTGCTCACCCATTCCCCTGAGCCACAGGGTGGACCCAGCTTACCTACGGTTTCTAACCTCCATTGTGTCGCCACTTTCCCCACCACCAAAAGCCAATGAAGGTCCAAGCTGCATCTCAGCTGTCTGGGGGGATGTGGTTGTGGTATGAAAACTCAGATGTCCACCAGGGCTAGGAAGGGAACGTTCCAGAATGGAGAAGGATAGAGAAGGCAATAAAGAGAGCAGCCAGCACCTCAAAGGAGCCACTCATTTCCTTGCAAACACTCGGGCCCATGGTTTGGATAATCTTTAATTATCCAAAAGATCTAAAAACTTGGTTTTAAAAAATAAGAATCTTTTGATGATTAAATGTGAGTTAAAAATGTTAACATTTGAAATATAAGTACGTAAGTGCATAATACACACACACATATATGCATTCTGTGCACCATACAAAGGCTATAAGTCACAAGTTTGTGTCCTCTGACCACACAAACCCAAGTATCACGTGACACTGATACTTGGGCCCCCAGCCCTGAAGCCTACAAAAGATTTCTGTGTGGATGTTACCAACAGGAATTTGAAAGTGAATGAACTGCTTCTGAAAAACCCACCATATGATAATCACAAACAATTCCACTGTGAGAGGAATGCCTTTTGCTTCTTGCTTTGTTGAAAACCTTTTTTTCAACAACCATTCGATTTTGTTTTTTGTAGTCCACTTGTTACAAAATCAATGATATTTTAAAGAAATGACTTAGGCTAAAAAAAAAAAAAAACCTCTCAGCCTCCCTAATAAAGTGGATTTAACTTTTAAGATTTTTCTTTTAAGAACCCTTCAGCAGTTTGGAGAAAATAACTTGGAACTATTTTTTTATTACTTATTAATTAACCCAGACATCAAACAATTGCAACAACCAATGGTCACTAAAAATATATATTAATGAAATAAAACAAATTTTGCTACAATATGCAATACATCAAAACATATGTAAGCTTAAACTTGTCTGCCCGGAGCACACATGTACACATATGTGCATGTACATACATACATGTGTGTGTACATACACACCCATACGCACACATGCAGACAGGAAAAGTAAGCTCCTACATATGGTCAGTGAGTGGTACAGCATGAACTGGGCTAACTCAAGCCCAAATTAATTATCTCACTGGTTTACCTCAGAGCCTGAAGCTTCCAGTGTTAAACTGCCCTTCTAGTTCAGGCATTTTCTTTTAAAGGTCCCCCCCAACCCCAAAATGCAACAGTTAACACATTCATCCACTATCACTCATTATCTCAGACTGCATGATAAGGAAAATTATGGTGATGATCACAGCTCCCATTTATAGCTTGCTTTAACACTGATAAGACTCTTCCCATTGCACAATCCCGGTTTCTTCCCAGTAACTCTGAGGTAGGTCCCAGTCCCGCCTCGGCAGTCACAGTTGTACAGATATTGGTTCCCGGGACTCCCTCCCCTGAGCACTGGGTCATCAGGCAGCACACCCTCGGCAAGACACTGAGTGTGGCAGAGACATGTGGAAACGCGGGTTTGCCTGCTTTGTTTTGTTTTGAATGGGGGAACCAAGACCCAGGGAGCCCAGATGACCTGCTGAGGTTTCTGACCTTCCTGGTACTGTGCCACCACACAGACCTCCTCATAGTCCTGCAGCCTGGCCTCTCAGAGAACAGGGACTGAGGAGGAAGAGCAAGCATTGTCTGCACCAAGAAAGTGTCAGGCAGGAACAGAGGAAAGGTGTTGTCAGGAGGAGAAAGGGGCTCAGGCAGCTGAGGGGATTAATATAAAAAGTGCTGAAAGCATTTTATGGCTTGGGCAGGGAACGTTAAATGCAGGCAGAGTGAACCTCAGAGACAAACTCTGCCTGCAGTTCCGTGTGGGCCCCCATCTCACATCCTGCTTCCTTCTGTGGGAGGCACTGAGCCACTGGAACCTTCCCCAGGCTGTGCTGGCACTCAGAGTGTCACAGCTTGCCCATTTGGGTCACCTTTCCTGGACCTACAGGCAGTTTCATCTACATTGTTTTATATGTGAGTGAAATGAGACACTGAGCAATTCATCTTCTCCTATAGTCCTGCCTGCAAACTCCCAACTCACTTCCTTGCTCGCCCAGCCTTCCCCCTGCCCACAGACAATAGAGCATTGACCGGAGTTGTTTGCATTGACCTTTTCATTAGTTTGAAGACAAAGTCTTCCTACACCCTACTAGAGGGTATGCAAGTGAAGCAGAAAGCAAGCTTAGGTTTCATCTGGGGCCTTCCCTTAAGTGCAAAATGAAAGAGACTCATGGCTGGAAAGCAAATCTGGGTATTAATGAGCCTGCTTTCTTATCCAAACCAGGGCAACAGTGCAAGCCTCTCCTTAGGGCTCACCTCGCCAGAGATTTCACCCTTGCACTTCTTAGCTCCCCAAAATACAAAAAGGTTAAGCAACCAATTTTAACAGAGGCAGCTCAAGGTCACAGTGGTGGCCTCACTCCAGTCAGTGAAGCTCAGAGACCTGCAGCCCTGGTTCCTATACCCCTCTCTCAACCAGCTTAAGCCTGGAAAGGGTTGTGGGGTCAGGGGGCCCACCTAGTCCCTTACCTATGAAGACATTAGCTCTGAGCCCTTCCCTGCCTCTGGAGGAGGCTTGTGGGGGGCCTTTGTGGGAAGCTGCAGGGAGAAAAGGTCTTCTGGCTTAGTCTTCCCAGCTCCAAGTGCTAAAATGGAGCTTGGGGCCTGAAGCATTAGGCTCTTTATCTTCTACAGGGGGTACAGAGGAGCAGCACACTCCCTCTTCTCCCCTCTCCTCCAAAAAGAGAAAAGATAATAGGTTCATTTTCTTTTTATTGGAGGCCACCTATAGAGACTTTTGAAAAAGAGTCACCTGTAGAGAATGGGCACGTTACGTAAGAAGTGCGAACAGCAAATCGACCTACTGTGTCACTCACCTTCGCCTCTTCATTCACATCCCAGGTGAAGGAAACGGCATTATATGCAATCTCTTCAATGTTTCCGATCGTATTAAAGCTCTCCTTGTAATCAGCTGTAACATTAAAAAAGAAGAGGGTTTTAAAAGAGTGACTCTGTGACATGTACAGAACCATCATTTTCCAATAGGTAAATTTAAATTTTGCCTTTTTTTTTTTTTTGGCTACCTCCATGGCAACAGTTAAGGGTTTGTGCTCACTGATATTCTTTTGCTAATATTTACTCTATAGGAATGTAAGCATATTCCTCTATTAAAAGAGTAAATCTACACGAACCAATGTTCTTAGTTGATGTGTTTGTTTCATTTTTTACTAGGTTTGTAAAATTACTAAAGTTTCTTTTTCCTCCTGAGCCAAATGTCACCTACCTACTCCCTTTCCTGCTACCTAATTTTGCTAGCAGTGCCTAGAGCATTCCATAGGGCTTTTTTGTTTTGTTTTGTTTTGTTTTGGTAGAACAGAATATTCCATTTATCAGCCAGGCAGCCAGGCTGTATTTGGCTTTAGTAAAGAAATTGGAGGGGACTGTAAGAAAACTTGTTAAAATTTCTTTTTGGACTTAGTTATAGCGAGTTGAATTTATTATATTCAGCTCACTGTCAACACCTGTCCATTCAAGGCCCTCTTTTATGTCTTTATTTAGGTAACATGTATCCATTTTACCCACATTCTCTTCTCCTGCAACACAATAGCTATCAACATGTTGATATGAGAAAATATGAAAAGGTGAAATATGTTGGGCTGATTGGCCTATGTACATAGCTTTAATTTTCATAAATTCTGTAGTTCTTGGGCTACGGTTGCCAGATTTTGCAAATATTTCAGATATACTTATCCTCAAAAAGTATTGGTAATCAGAAATTCAAATTTACCTGGACACCTATATTTGACCTGGCAACCTTCACTATGGACCTTTTCGGATCTAACCATGTTGCTGGTCATGTTCCTATTACTAGCCGTGGTGGCAGAGAATTCTGGATTGATCACCGACCACAATTTACCTATCCCCTCTCAACAGAGATGAATCTTTCAGGGATCTTCACTCTGGTGCCACAGACAACACTGTGATAAAAATCTGTATTCCTGGGCGTTGAATTGATGGTTAGTCACAGAAAAACCTACTCAATGTGCTCTCTGGAATGGCCCTCCAGAATGGGTCTGCCAACCTAGTGTCTCACTAGAATTCTATTTTCCCTCTTTCTCACCAAATTTCTACTTTTCCCCCACTCTAATAGGTACAAATTGAGGTTATATTTGCATTTCTTCTACCACTTGTGAGTCAAATATCTCTTCCTAAACAGGATAGCTAACCAAGTGTCTCCTTACGTAGACTGCTTACTCATGCCATGTGTTCACGTTTCCATGGTTTCCTTAGGGAAATTTTTAATTGAAACTATATATCTTTACATTTTAAATAAAGCTCCCACACTTTAATATAAAAGAATGTGTGTTCACCATAGAGAAGTCAGAGATCATTAACAAATAAGTAGAGTATTTAAAAGCAATCATCATCTATTGACCTACAACCAACTATAAACATATCTGTGGCATACTTTATCTTTTCTATCTTTCTAGCTCCTTTTCTCAATAACATATAAATATTTGTATACAGTATCATAATGCTCATTTTTTTTAACTTGACACATCTTCAGCACCTTCCCATGTCAATAAACTGGTGTAAAATTACTTTTAATGACCAAATACCACTATATGAGATGTCATAACTTTATTTGCTCTTGTTGGTCATTTAGATGACATCCAACACTTTGCAATCTCAAATGGCATTTCATTTAATTATCATATATGTTTAATTATATTTCACTAAAATATATCCTCAGAAGTGAAAATAGGAGGTCAAAGGAAAATATAGTTTTAAGTTTTTAATTCATTTTGTCAGAGTACTCCTAGAAAGGATGAAACAATTTATGTTCAAGATAACAGTGGATGAGTTCTTGTTTCTTCAAACGGTTTCTTTCCAAATTAATATGCAAAACATGACACCTTATTATTTTAATTAATTTTCAATTTCTTGATTGCTAATGGGGTTGAACAGTCATTCATTTTGTTTTTGGCTTTTTGAATTTCTTTATATTTTTTCTCCTTGTTTTTAAAATTTATTCATTTATTACAACAGTTTCCTATTCAGCCCTTTGCCCATTTTTCTCTTAGGGTAATCAATTTTCTTATTGGTTTTAAAATGAATACTTAAAGCTAAGAGAAAAAAGTGGGCAAAGGACTTGAACAGAAACTTTTCTAAAGAAGACAGAAGAATGGTCACCAAACATATGAAAAAATGTTCAACATCTCTAATCATCAGGAAATGCAAATCAAACCACAATGAGAATATGCTACTCCCAGTAAGAATGGCCTTTATCAAAAAGTCTCCAAACATAAATGCTGCGTGGATGCGGAGAGAGAGGGAACTCCACACTGTGGTGACTGCAAACTAGTTCAACCTCTGTGGAAAGCAATATGGAGATACCTTAAAGCGATACAAGTGAATCTACCATTGGATCCAGCAATCCCATTGCTGGGCATCTACCACATGATCAATGACACTCTAACAAAAAGACACCTGCACTCGAATGTTTATAGCAGCACAATTCATAATGCAAGGCTGTGAAACAGCCCAAGTGCCCATCAATCCAAGAATGAATTAATAAAATGTGGTATATGTATACCATATACTATACCAGCTCCTAAAGAAACAAAGGTGATATACGCACATCTTATATTCCTGTTAGAGCTGGGACCCATACTACTAAGTGAAGTTCTCCCAAGAATGGAAAACAAGCACCACATATACTCACCAGCAAACTGGGTATAACGCAGCATAAGTGACACATTAGTACTATAGTAATACGGGTATTGGGCACCGTGTGCCAGCAGGGGGCGGTATATAATACTACATATAAGAGTGAGATTGTGCACCACTGGGGGGGATTGTCATGCTGGGGACTCAGACTGTGGGGGGAGGTTGGAGAAATAGGCATTTATTGAAAACCTTAAACATCTGTACCCCCATAATCATGCGAAATTAAACAAAAAAAGCTAGGAGAGAGAAACAAAAAGAAAACAATTTTACATCCTAGAAATTACAATACAGCTTTATATGGACAAATTGGAGATTTAATGTAAACCTGGCTTTCAGCAGTCCAGCCAAGCTCCTAAAATTCTGAAAGAAAAGTAGACCACTAAATAAAGAATTGATTTCTTCATCATTATACATAATTATTTTAAAAATGCTTGCAATTTTGAAGTTTTCAACACATTTATTTTAAAAAGCTTTATGTCAATTGTAAATAAGAAAGCATTGTCATATCTAGAAATAAAGACAAACCAAAGTGTTTGTCCATTACCCTGATCCATCGAGTTAAATATTATGAGTCTTTATTTCCCATAGCTTCTCCACATGAAAAATTCTTCCTAAAAAATGATCAGCTCAATAAAAGAAAAGATTTCAAAAACAAATGCATATCAAAAAGCTGCACTCATGTTTATTGCAGCACTATTCACAATAGCAAAGACATGGAATCAACACAAGTGTCCATCCTGGAGGATGGAATAAAGAAAATGCGGTGTAACACACATGGAATACTATTCAACCAGGAAAAAAATGAAGTCATGTCTTTGCAGCAACATGGATGGAACTGAGACCATTATCTTAACTGAAATAAGTCAGACACCAAAAGACAGACATCCGCATATTCTTTGCCCATAAGCGGGTACTAAAAAAGGTATACACAAATAAAATACTTTCTGGCCTAACATCTTACACAATCTCTCAATCTTCCCTGTCAGATTTCTAAACACCTTTAGTTACTCAATCAACAAACATACTCAAGAAATATTACATGTGTGCCTCTATGTGCCAGGCAGTGTTCTGCTTGAAAGGGGTAGAAAACAGAGACGTCCCCAATTATATGGCTCTTTCAATCCAGGAGACAGTAATAAATAGGTAGATATAATAACAACAAGATAACCTCCTTAATCTTCTTAATACCAAAGACAAAAGGACTAGGGACACTACTTTTTATAGAGTGGTTCCATACCTTTTAATTTCCTTCTTAGCATGTTACATTATTTATTTATTATTTACTATTTATCACCAGCATTCTCCATTAGCTACACATGTTATACAGGGCCGAGGAACTTAGTGCTTTCTCAGTGTTTAACACCGTACATGTAAGGTATACTCCATAAATTTACTGAATGGATGAATAAATGGATCCAGACATTCTAAACATAAAATGTAACTAAGAGATTAATATCACACATTCCTCTCCCTTATACAAAAAAAAAAAAAATGATGTCATCCCCACATCTTTTTTTGTCCTCTATGAGAAATTCCTCTCAGATGCTAAAATAGCCCTGCTCCTACTTCCTACGTTTTCTAAAAGACTAAACAGCTGAGGCACACTGATGCTGCTTTGCCCACATGCGTAGGCTGTCCAAAGCATGAAATGCTAATGGATGTGTCTCCTGCCTCTGAAAGCTGGGTTGATGTCCTCTGATAAGTGTTGTTTGCTTAAGGGTTTATGACCCATAATAGGAAAAGAAACTCAGCAGCCTGGTGTTAAGCCTTCCTGAATTTATTTCCTCAAGAAAGTTTTTCACCCAGATTTTGCAAATGTTGATAGTTGCTGCCAGTAAAAGGTACTGCAATGAGCTGCTGTATTGGTTTGCTAGAGCTGCCATAATAAAGCACCACAAACTTAGTGGCTTCCAACCATGGGAATGTATTATCTCACAGTTGTGGAGGCCAGAAGTTTTAAATCAAGGTGTCAGCAGGGTTGGTTTCCCCAGAGGCTCTGTGGGAGGACCTGGCCCGTGCCTCTCTCCCAGCTTCTGGTGGTTGCCAGCGATCCTGGACACTCTGGACTGGCAGGTGTGACACTCACCCTCTGCCTCTGTCCTCACATGGTATTCTCTTCTGTGTCTGCGTGTGTGTTTTCCCCTTCTCTTCTCTTCTCTTCTCTTCTGAGGACTTGTTACTGGGGCCCACCTTAAGACAGGATGATCTCATCCAGAGATCTGTAACTTAATTACATCTGCA